TACTTTTGGAACGACATTTCGTCAGGCTAGAATTTCAACGTTGAAACAACTATGTCATGGTCTGAGCCCCCGAGTGGGCCTAGGGATGACACCGACGATGGCAAGCAGCCTCTACAGAAAATTAAGTCAAGTATACTTGAGCTTCGGGTGGGAAAATCGACAACCTGAGTCCACATCCCGACATCCACAGCCTCAAGAAAGTCATCGAACCTTCTGGGGCCTGAAGGCGGAGACCAGCGGACTTCAGGGAAGATTAAAGTCACCCGCAACCAGTTGATACTTAAAGCTTGAGTCGGCCGCAGCATGAAATGCCTGTGAGAGTAAACGATCAAGATTGTCGTTGGCGTTGGGAGGGCGATAGACGCAGCCAATGAGTAAGGAGAACTTATTTTCTAGTGCAACCTGGAGCCAGCAGCTGCCTTCTACTGCGGAAAAATGCGGGAGGTCCAACGGCAAAAATGTAAGTGTTTGCTTAACGTAGGCGCAGCTGCCCCCACCACGGCTATCTTGGCGATCATTTCGGATGCAATTATAGCCTAGAAGAGAGAGTTCGGAGTCAGCTACTGAGGCTGATGCCCACGTCTCAGTTACTAAAACAATATCTGGACAATGGACGAACACCAGAGTCTGAAGCAAATGCATCTTATTAAGCAAGGATCTGGCATTTAAAACAAAACGTTTGAAGGGAAAGGCTGTTAGTTTTTGAGGGAGGTGGGCTACATCGTCCAGTTCTGGACTGCCCACGGAGCAAACGGTCCGGATGCAACCATCCGGTTTTGCAAAAAATTTTGTGGCATCGAAAACTTCTGACGTGGATGAAAAGGGGTAGGACTTGGGGGAGGGAATGACGGGCAGGTGAACTGGTAACCATTGTTAGCTAACTTATTTTCAGCTGGAAATCCGCGGGGCAGATACTGCAACGTATTCCTGCCGGAACGAATCTGAGGATAGGATGAATTAACTGATTCAGTATGGACATTATCATGAGGAATAAATTAGTAAAACGGCCGTGGAGGAAACAAGTTAGGGGGTGGGGGACGCATTGTTTCCATTGGAGCAAGAGTTTTATTAAACGGCGGAAAAATCGGCATATTCGACCTAAGTGCCTCGATATGAGGGCTGGGGGGCACTTGCGAACCCGCTACGTTTTGCGTCGGGGTACTTGAGGCACTGTTAGCCGATTGTGGAGGAAAAGATTTTATAATGGTGCCGGATTTATTGGGTGTCCGAGTGGCTGAGACAGCAATTGGATTTGCCTTTGACTTAGGCACATGCTTAGGCTTACTAGGGGTTGCTGAGGGAGTCGATAGAGGCGTGTTTCTAGCAGGCGTGGTGGTGTGTTTAAAGAGGTCAGCATTAAAAGTAGTCGAACTCTCTACGGAATTGACTATGCCGTGATGTGCAGATGGTGTTGTAGAGGACTTATTCAGACTGACGGTAGGTGTCATTATCTTGGTGCTGGTTTTTGCCGAATTTTATTTATTTAGTCTTCGCTGCAGCGGTGTGAGGTCTGGCGAAACGGAGCAGCACCATTTACGGCAGAAGTCTCTAGTTATCTCCCTACTCGACAAGATAAATTCGACTTCTATCATGGCACAGAATTGCGTATTGCTCACTTTCAGGATTCTGATAAGAGTCGTACTTCTGGGGTTCATTTCTCCTAACCATCTTCGATTCCGAGACCCTCGACCTGCCCTCTTTTTTCATTCTAAACCTTCACGTTTGTGGTTATGAATTTTTTATTGTTTTATTAGTGTGTGAAACATGCCCATTACAATAATACCTGCAAACTCACATTTCTCCATTGGTTCAAAAATATGATATTTTTGGTTCTGTGTCTACCATTCTTCTCTGTCGATCCTTAGTTTCGGTTCCTATGCATGGTTTCTTAAAAATCATTCATGACTTTTAGGCAGTTTACGAAAGTGCGTATCTCGTCAATTAATATATTCTTGTTTATACTTGAATGCAAGGGAAATGTAAGGTAAACGGCACAGAAATGCATAGAGATTGGTCGCTCTCTTTCCCAAGACACCTCACCATTCTCTTGCAGTTGCATATACATATGGCTTGCGAAATCTCCGCCCAGGCCACATTTCATTCATCTTTGTTTGGACAGATCGCAAGTTCATAATTTCGTTAGTCTCCAGGCTGCACATACTAACTTTCCGTACGGGTGTGTGCTTCTTGTCTAACTCTTGTAGTTGTGTCGGGTTCGCATCGAATGCCATAATGGTGACAGTTATTGCCCGGTTTTTGTTGTGAATTACGTTCCAAAACAGAATGTTCACCTATACCAATGGTAAAGTTCAGAAGACTGATCCTACTAGATCCGCTAATAATGACCGCAGCATGCACACTTCTTACAACTCTAAGGATGGCAAGTCTGTGCGTCTTCGTAGGCAATGGGCTGCCAACTTAAATGGAAACTCGGAGAATCTTAAGCCTTTTATTGATCCCCGGAAGGGGTCCGCACTTCAGCTGCCAACGTTGAATGGAAATGTGAACTACAACAGCCGCCAGGAGAATATTAAGTCTCGAAATATTTCCGACGTCCGCACTCCATATGGATTTCCTACCCCTCAAAACGTCAGCGAAACAAAAGTATACAGGACACGAGAAGAGGTACGCTGGCTCTTTATTGCAAACTTTGCTGTTTTGCGGGCCTGCCCGGAAAATTTAAATGAGCCTATGCAGCATATTAATTCGCCTTAAGCGGTGATTTGCAAGGTGCTTCAACACACTTGCGCTACAATCCCATTTTGTGCCTTACGTAGCTGCACTCAAATTACGGTACATTTAGTTAACCCGCGCATAGCTTTGTGTAGTGGCCTTGCTAACCTGTTGACTGATATTAAGAATCTACCCAAAAACGTCTAGAATAGACGTTTAACCTGTAAATCAAGCTTATGTAGTTTTTAATTTTAAGTTAAATCAGGGCGAGTGATGATTATCCTAGCCTAGAGTCACGGGAACCCTTCATGGATTTTCATGCCCTTTGGGCATAGAGACTATCTTCTTTCTGTGCCCCATTTAGAAAACGGAAAGATTATGGAGTTCAATTTGTTTTACTGCAAAATCCAAAGGTAATTAAGGTGCGTCCGTGCATTCTTCTTTTAGCCCAAGGGCCCATCCAAGTTCACCATCCCTAAAAGCGGTTTTGACGCCCGACTCGAGCGTGCCGCAGCCTATCCGACTAACTTTCCGGTTTACACTTCAACGACGCCTCGTGCAAATCACCAGAAACAACAAAACCGGTTCCAGTACGACAGTGTCGATCGCGCTCGACCGAAAATCCAAAACAGTACTCAGATGGCAAAGCCTCAGTACCCGATGCCTCCGAAGGCGAACGAAGTAGCTCCTGCGGTTCCACCAAAAAGTACGGTAAGTGACATATCGTCTCCAAAACGGTCGCTTTTGCTGACCTTCGATAGTTAATTCACTTTACCTCGGCAGTTTCTTGTCATGGAGTGTTGATCACCAATGTAAACTTCGATGCTTTCCGTCACGCAGGGCAAATCTCCCCTAAGTGTTCAATAAAATTTAGTTTTTCCTTTCAAGCACTGTGGCACAAGCAAGCTTTCAAATTAGGAATCTTTCTCGGTGCATTTCTATGTGAGTTAACAGTTTTCATGCCACTATTTCTTCCTATGCGCCAGGTCAATTCAGCCAGTCGAGCAAAAAAATATTCCAACTCATGTTCTGTCGGGTCTTGAAAAGTAGTCCGGGGATTGAATTGCTTATAGTTACAGGAAGGCCATTTCCTGAGTGTACTTATGTACGCCTGGCAAATCGATATTTGTCTAGAACCTGCAATATACCACATCTCGATCCATTACAGCAGTACTTGAATGTGCTCCAATAGGTCGATGTCCGCAATAACACGTAAACCGCTCTGACTGTTTTCTTAAAGCTCAAAATATCTGTTGTTCATAGCTTGCCTAGCGAAAATTCGTCGCAGTTGAACCGGGACATTGATGACGAGATAGTCCAACCCACGACCTTTGGGATACAAGGGTCGTGGTTTGTCTCATAGCATGTCAAATGGCACAATCGGGCTGAAATAAGATTCTATACTAACTGTGAAAGCCACTTTCCAAGGAAGTAGATTGGTCGTGGAGCGCAAACCATCCTCATCGTTCTCCAAAAGCGCAGATCGAGTCATTTGATTATGCATTGTAGCATGCACACGGTTGTTCGCTGTGGGTATATATCCTTTTCTTGCTTGCAGTTGCCAGTTTAAAGAGATATTCATTTTGGGGGCATAGGAAGGAATGCTTCCTATCGGACAAGATCAGAAAAAGACTTGTCATACTATTGAAGTCTGGGACAGTGATCTTAGTAACGTACCACATTGTAAAGTCATTTGGTTTAGGATTTTCCGTTCAGTGGAAAAGCCATCTCATGAAATGTCGACTTGATATTCTAAAATGTGTTTGCGATTAGAAGAGATTACTTCATCAGCCTTGCCACGTTAATTATTGTATGGCATAATACCAATATATTCCGGTCACATCAGGACTCCAGCTGCCGAATGAGCTCTTTATCGGCCGCACGCATAAACAACGTCTCGTAAAAAATGACTACCCTAGTGGCATGAATTTCCCCATCGATTTTTAGTACCCTTATTGACCTAAGCATTTTTGCAGCAAACACGCACAAAGCACTCTTTACTTTACTCATTTGGTAGTAAATTGCATCATTAGATTCCGTATTTGAAGAATGAGTATCTTTCGATTAAAAAAAACTTTCTCAGCTCCCGACTAATTTTGAACTCGACCTGCCAGTACACTTGCATTCAAGGTTTGCGAACTACGAGCTGTATGCTTTTTGTGCAACAAAAACCATATATTTCTTTATGCTACTACGAAGGTAACATATACGGCTAACCAAATTTTATAATGGATGTGGGCCACTTCGTTTACTTTATAAGCAGCTGGTGTGATTACATATTTAGCGGTCTTCAAGCAATCTCGGAGTTAAAAATTCTTTGAAAACCGAGAGACACCCTCCCTTCGAGTTTAACCTTTACAAAAGACGTAATTTTCTACCAAGTGATTAAAAGGAAGGATATTTCCGTACATGTTTTCTGTAAAATATATTTAAATTTATTGGAGCATAGGAATTCGATGGGTAAGAATTTTTGCCATCGAAGTAGTCACTTTTTACAGGATGTAGTCTATGCAGGTGGCCGAAGGCTGGCATCCTAACGTAACTGGAATATCTTCGTGTTATACGACACGATAAGCAGCACCTCAACCCTACGTAAGTAATGTTTTCGAAATAAAGACGCGTTTGAGAATTTCGTTTAGCATCTCATGAGATAGCATACCAAGCTAGGCCTCCCGTTACTTCAAATGAAGAGGTTGGTTTTCTTCTGTTCACTTTTCCTCTAGCGCCTGAAACCTCAGCAGTTCGCGGCTGTCATAAAACCAATGTCAAATGGACGTCAGGATCGTTCCCAAGCCACACCTTTCTTGGCTCAATCCCGCCCGTCTTCTCCCCGCTCGCCGTCTCCACCATGGCATTCCCTGTTCCATCGATCTATGTACGCCCGTAACTCTTCCCGTGAACTCGATGCCCCACAAAACGGGCTCTCATCAGCTGAGCATCAGCGCCGCTCGCCGCATCAGCCAGTACACCGGCGCTCAACCGCGGCCCAGTTAAAGGACCGAACTGAACCACTGACAGCCAACAACAACGCCTTACATCCCCTGCGCAATGGTGTTAGCAATGGACACGAAGTTATGGCTCGCATCGCTTCGCGCGATGATCTTCGCAGATTTCAAGATGGTGGGCAGAGGAGCAACTTGCATACTCAGTCGAGTGGGGTCATGTGGCTCCCATCGAGCGACCAGGTTTGTTCCCTATGTTGTACCTTCATTTGAACCTCGACCTTCCCTGAAGGTGCCACCCTTAGACAGATCCACCCTCCCCCGTTGGAGAGCAGAGGAGCGTCATAAGGAGTAGTGCGCTTCTTCAGAGTAAACCCTATCTAAAATGGAAGAACCAGGTTGTCAGGAAATAAGTCTGCAGTAATAATACATTTTTGTACATCCAAGTGGGGGATGGGCGAAACTATGCGGTCGGGAGGTTGAATGATTTTTCTTTTTTTAGTGGAAATAGTGTTTTTCCTTACTTTTGGAATTAATTTTCGTCGAGTCCCTTGTCTTCGCACCTAGCTATATCACGAAAGTCTCGGGCATTTTCCACAAGAGACTGCCGTGCCTTTGCTCCACATTTCGTTTGTGACTGGGATAATGACGATAATGACGCGGCCGGATTACATACACCAGGGTCTTTACGTCTTCAGTCTGCTCAAAGTCATTTTATGCCGGTCCCTATATTTGATCCGGTGTCTTTGATGCGCACAACATTACTACTTCTACTCAGAAAATTATCGCCAAAGGTAAGACAGCTAAAGCATCCCTTTCGTGGAATATCGGAAACTGCAAACGAGGCAGGATTCGATGGTCACACCAAATTTAATGTTTTTACGACAGCGGCATGCGTAGATATGTTGGACCGAAAAAAGAAGCAGCTGCAAGACAGTAGACACTGTTGACTCAAAACCAGACACGAACAACTCGAGCACTGATTTGTCCGAGAGAGCCTACATGTTGTAGCAATTCTGACTTGTTTCGATAAAGAAAAAACCATGTAATCTCGGCCAGATTTGGGCCCGGTAGCTGTGGCTTACAGAGATAGCCAGCCCGCCTACGCGTAGCACACACTCGCACCTCATACCCCCAAAATGCCATGAAGACCACACTGAAAGGAAGCCATTGCCGTCTGACTCTGAGTTCTTCAATCACCCCCAAATACCCCCATGGGGATCCATTTAATCCGTCAGCTGGCAACCGTTCAAGCAAAAGGCGCTCTTTTGTCATGAGAATGGATACGTTAATGTCGGCTTTACTTGAAGCGGTCGACTTTCTGAACTGGAGGTTTTGCAGGCCTTCGTAGAACTTGGTCTTCGAGTCAGTATGGCTGGTCTTTGAGGGTCATAAGCGCTGACGTTGGTTGCCACTTTGTTTCTGCGGAGAGAGAAATTCATTGACGCCTTGCAGATAATTTGCTCAGTCACCTGCTGGATGCGCATTAGCTACGTTGTTTCCTTGGGTGAAGCCGTCGCTGTCGGTGACGTCAAACAGTGCGGCAATTTTTGCGTCGCACTGTTTGCTGTCAGTCGCGCATGTTCGCATCCAGTACTCAAAGCCCCACTTTGTCGTCACACCGTGTCAGAACCACCACGTTCTGTTGTTGGTTAAACCACTTTAGTTGCGTCTCGTGTTTGTTTGTGTGCACGCGGTGTGCGTACGTATGGCTTCGCCGTATGTCACTTCATAAAATTGGTGCTGTTTAACAGCTGAGTAGGGAACCTGCCCAAGTTTTGTGAGCGTCTGCTATGCCATGATCAGCAAACCTTGGCTCTCACAGCCTGGTGTGCGCTGGAAGTTCTCCGTTATCTGGTTCTCTGGTGGTAGATGCGCTCCCGCTGGGTATACAGGTGGCGAGTATGACTGCCCAGTCATCCACGTCTTTTCTGCTGTTGTTGGTCAAAATTCCGGTCAAGTATTTGTTGTAGACAAGGGGGTGTGGAGTGGGACACCAAGGTGCGGGCTCGGCCCCGCTATCCACCTGCGCTCTCTCTCTCCTCCGGTCCTCTTGACTCTGTCTCGACACCGCGCTAAGGTGAGGAAGGAAGAGAGAGTGCGGTAGATGCAGCGCAAGTCTACACACGCGCAAGTCGCCGTGCCAGCCTTACCTTGCTGTGGAGCACACGGTGGATATCGTCGGACGCAAAGGTCGAACTACCAGGGAACCAGTCGATAGCGCCACGCACACTTTTCTCCTAGGAACATGTACTGCTGCTGGTGAACCCTTCTCCGGGACAGACTGCGTTGGTTGGCCTACCAGCCAGCCAGCCAGGGGGAAGGAGGGAATTCGAACTCGGGCTATTTGGTCATCAAGCCATAAGCCTAGGCCTTATCTGCAACGGTCAGGAATGTTCTGCCACACGAGAACAGCGTTCGCCATTCAATCCTGAATGCAAGACGAATTATGGGCTTCGTATTTTGCCTGCTTGCTGTCATGTGGTCCGGAGAGATCAGTGATCACCATTTCTCTTCTCACATCTGCTCCGTCTATTCATTCTCGTCCTACTGCTGTTGGATTCCTCCCCTCAGTCCTCTCCTATTTAGATTTCGTCCTCATTTTCTTATTTCCTCTCATAATTTCTTCTCCAGAAACGGCAACCAACACCTCGTTACTTGTTGGTAAATTTTCTTCGCTGATAATGCGGATGCTGGTAGTGATGGTGGTGGTGGTGGTTGTGGTGCTGCTGCTGTCATTACACTGACCATTCTTACCTCCCTGCTTCCCAAGTCTGCTGGTCGTTCCAACGTCCTGAGGGTCACCACCACCACCACCACCACCACCACCACCACCACCACCACCACCACCACCACCACCACCACCACCACCACCACCACCACCACCACCACTACCGGCAACCTGAAGTCGCATCGAATACCGAGCCTCACGAGGTTGACCATCTTTTGCCAGCGTCACCAGGACCACTACCAGCACCAGCAGAACCATCGTACCACATGGCGACTTGTTGTGAGTCGCGACCGACAGTGCCTGCTTCCCTGGCCATCGCATTTTAAGACACCGCTCCGATTAGTTAATCATTTCCCCTCTCACACCAAGTATAGGGAGGGCGGCTCAACTACACGCCACTCGTCAATTTTTCATCCAACGTGTCCAACGCCAACACGGTAGCTCAGGACAGTGACCTGCAAGGCCACGATAATGTCGCCGGTGGAACGCTGTAGTGTCCATTGTTGCGTGTTTTGGCGCCGTAGATGTTGGGCCTTGCTAGACCTCTCTGTCTAAGAATTTTTTTCAACAATGTTCACCGTACCCCTGGCAAACAACTCCCTATTTGGTGTGTAGTTTGTTGGCTTTCACGGCTCGTAGCAATTGGATCGTATTTCTGAAAAATTAAGACACAAAAAATTGTTAACGAAAGATTGTAGGAGCCTACGCCTGTTTCAGGATCGGGGCCCCGATAAAGACGTTTTTGACTTCTAAAACTTTTGCCACACCCAAATGACTTACAGTGCGTGGCCGACCCCTTGAAATGTTGGCCGGAATTCTGAAATGCGTTTTCAATTAGGAAGGATTAATTAGGTGGGGTTGTAATATTGATTATTTTGCAGCATAATCCCATAGTACTTTGGACTCGCCAGGATGTCGGCTTTTGAATGCACTTATTTTTGACTTCTTGCAGAAACCACACTCGGCAAAATTGGCTTCTTAAGTAGCATGATTTTTTCACATTTATTTTCGATACTCTCATAAACTCAAATATATTCTGCAGGAAAACTGCACAAAATATGCTTTTTTTACTCATTTGTCGGAAAATCACATTGTCTTTACACTTTATGTCCGAAGAAAGCGTATATTTGGGTTTTGCGAAAGTTTCCCAATTCCCCAATAATTTTGAGCCAGATCAGTCGTTGCATCAGCGTTTACCGATTTCATTCTACAAGGTGCATGCTTTCGACGTAGGGAAAATCATATGTTCCTCTATGCCTTTAAGAAGATTCCGTATAAAGTTCATAAAAGTCTACAATGGATGCGGACTATGTCGTACATTTCTTGAGGCGAATTGGTAGACGGACATGTGCGATGCTGTATGTATGGACATCGCACGGTCTTAAAAATCTCATAATCGAAAAGTTTTTTAAAACCGAAAGGTAAGCATTCTTGAGGTATAAAATATGAAGACAATGTGATTTGCTACCAAATGAGTAAAAGAAAGCATATTTTTTCATTGAGATTTTGGCAGATTTTGAACAATTCATATTGACCCAACTGTGAAAAACTCGGCGCCTCGGTGGGATTCGAACCCACGCAGTAAAGGGGAAGGCTTTAGTACAGCCAACGCTCTAACCACCTGAGCTACGAGGCCCCGCCGGACGACGCGAGTTTTATCACACTTGGGTCAAGTTACCCGCCCAACCTACTGCAACGTCTGGAATCCACCAAATCTGATACAGTAAGTTGACTGCCCAAGCAGGATTTCCTAAGTAATTCACCTAGAATCCACCAGATGACTACTAGGCTCACGTAATTCATTGAGATTTTGGCAGATTTTGAATAATTCATATTGACCCAACTATGAATTATTCAAAATCTACCAAAACATCTATGAATTACGTGCGACTGGTAGTCCTTTGGTGGATTCTAGGTGAATTACTTAGGAAATCCTGCTTGGGCAGTCAACTTACTGTATCAGATTTGGTGGATTCCAGACGTTGCAGTAGGTTGGGCGGGTAACTTGACCCAAGTGTGATGAAACTCGCGTCGTCCGGCGGGGCCTCGTAGCTCAGGTGGTTAGAGCGTTGGCTGTACTAAAGCCTTCCCCTTTACTGCGTGGGTTCGAATCCCACCGAGGCGCCGAGTTTTTCACAGTTGGGTCAATATGAAAGCATATTTTGCACTGTTTTCCAGTAGAATATATTTGAATTTATGAGGCCATCGAAAACCAATGTGAAAAATTCATGCTACTTAAGGAGTGAGTTTTTTCCGAGTGTGGCTTCTGCAAGGAGTCAAAAAGAAGTACATTTTAAAGCCGACATCCTGACGAGTCCGAAATACTGTCAAATTATGCCGCAGGATAATCAGTATTACAACCCCACCTAATTACTCCTTCCTACTCGATCACGCATTTCAGAATTTCGGCCAACATTTCATGAGATCGGTCATTCACTATATTTATCTTGACTAAGCTCTAGGGACTTAATAAAGGCGACTGCAAAACACCGGAGGTCATCCTCATAACCGTACTTGGTATAGCTCTTATCATGTCTGATCTAGCCAGCCTCGATGATGTCGCGTATTGCTCCTCCCCACCCGTTGTGACCTGCGGCAGCGGATCTGAAAAGCTCGACTCATTCTATCCTCCGGCGACGAAGACCGAATACAAAAGTCCCAACAACCACTTCCACATCTTGGTGAACTAGAAGATGACCAACTCCACGACGCCTCCAAGTGAACAACGACGACGGGTCGAAGGCAGAAACATTGAGCTCACAAGACAGACGACAAAGATCGTGTCCAAGTTACCTTAGACATCCTGGCGATGCCGTCGCAGCCAGTACGGACTGTCTCATTCGAAGCTAAGTTCGTGCGCTTCACTGGAAGCATGGTTCTCAGACAATGACGGTCAAGTACCTTTCTTCCACCTCCACAGGCTAGTATTTACAACCGTCTGGGAGGACTGACCAAACGGATGTCCGGTGCACATGAATCATTTTAATGACTGGGGTGTTGCGTCGGGATGTGGAAACTCTGCGAGCAGCATCAGTCAGAGATTCGATGCCATCCATTCGGCAGCAGCTCCTTTCCGGAGTTATTTGGAAGTGTCTACGTCTTTGACTAGACAGCCCGTTGGTCACAATTGTGTCTCATCCCGGTCAGGCGTGCAGCCTAAAAGCGTTTATAGGTAAACCGACCGAATTAGTGACTTCATCCACGCCACCGCATACTGTAGGTCACAAAAACTCGGGGCTAACAGGTCAGCATCGTCAGCGGAGTTGAGATCTGTAAGCCGGCGCCCGGTTCATACGCACCAGGGGCCCACCCCACAGCGAGGTTAGGGGATATGCGCAGTTGTATTAGAGATGAAATATAACACACACGCACTTTTCAAACCACACGGCCAATTATAGTTGCCAGTTCAGTTTAAAGCTACGTTTTTTCTTCAAGCCTTAGTTACCCCTTCTTCGAGTGTCACAGTTTGAGAGGAATTTTCGCCTACAATATTTGCACCAAGATGCAATTTTGTCTGGGAAGTAAGTACATGGAGCCATAACAAGTCAATAAATGCTGCGCAACACATACTTGTCGGTAATATCATTCTGCCTATATCATGCACCACTGTGCGGCTGCTGGTTGGGCTCGAGAGAGAGAGCCCTTAAGGCACAACGGAACGAGTGAGTTCCCTATTAACGATCGGTTAGCGCCTCCTACCATTGTATATTACCGATCGAAAAACCGACAGGGCAACGGGCTCGTGGCTCAATGGTTAGAGGCGTGGACTTCTAACTAACAGGTCGCTAGTTCGAGCCTAGGTTGTTGCACACTTCGGGGTTGGGTATGACTGGCTGACAACGGCTAATAAGCCAGAAATGGCCATTCCAGTCTCCCTTGTCTTTGTCGGTAATATCATGCGCCGCTGTGCGGCTGCTGGTTGGGCCCGAGAGAGAGTCCGTAAGGCGCAACGGAACGAGTGAGTTCCGTAAGAACGATCAGTGAGCGCCCTCTACCATACTTATTGATTTTTTCCAAGGGTAGTTTACGCAGGCGGCCGTACAGATTATTGACTAATAGCCGCTATCCAACCATGTAGCAAATTAAACAGAGTATACAACGGTCTGGCCCGTTGCATCAAGAGGCAATTTTGTCTGGGAAGTAAACACATTGAGCCATAATAAATCAGTGAATGCCGCACAATACGTACTCACAGGTCTTTTCAAGTGTAGTTTACACAGGCGGCCGGACAGATTATTGACCAATAGCCACTATTCACCCATGCAGCAAATTAAATAGAGTACACAACGGGGCTGGTTGACGCTGACACCTTTCTTTAGGGCCTTCCAGCGGCTCTTCGTTGCTTTATAATAAGAACAACGAGAAGTAGATAGGCAGCATTCTGAATTTCTTTGACAAATGGACATAAAGACGTCAGCGTCGTGATTAAGAATATACAGTCTAAGAACGTGGTAGATAGAAAAAAACGAGAATTAGACAGCTGTGTGTGTATGTGTGCGCGCTGATGAAGACACTTTGGATTACTACGAAAAGGTTAGATTTAGCACATGGTTCGATTATATGCACAAATCAGGCCTGGAATTAACACCGTACTGAAGTAAATTTTCCGCTTGATATCGTGTCTGGGAAGAGATCTTTAGTCAATGCATAATGAATTTCAGTGCACACTCTAGATTTGCACACTTGCGCCTGAGTAGTATGATCCAGGCCGCTTCCCACTCGTCAACCTGGCCGTCTAGTTGTTATTTGAAGCACGTAGTGCCGTTTTGCTTTCAAAACGCACTACTTTTTGAGGTGTGCGGTGTACATGGTGCCCTGAGAAAAATTTTGAATTCTTACACTCTTTCAGCCACAACAGACGTGTAAGTGTATCTCTCACCCGCTCCGAGTAGGCAACCGTAAGAAATGCATTAAAATCAACCCTCTTTGGAAGTCGGTAGGTGCCAGAGGGTTAGAAACACATAAAACGCCTGATGCAGAGGTTGTCCAGCTAGCGAATGAAGTTGTGGGTTGCCACATAGACACGGCGGTTGCCCCAGTCACCCATTCAACAGACAAAATCGCCGGGGGTGCTCGTGTTCAAGCATGCGTAGATGGGGTGTTACGTCAAGTCAGTCACTCTTCTCAACCTGTCTGTCAGTCATCTTGATGTAGCCTTGCCGGCGGTTCACGACGGCAGTGGATAGGGTGAGAGTTTCATTTACCATAAATTTATCGCACAAGTCATTCCACCGTTCAGTCATCTGCATCATCCCCCTCCAATTCCACATCTCTTTGCAAAAAGTCCTATGGAGTACTCACACGCCGTCGTCCCACGAGCGACCCTTTCCCATGGAATCAGTGTTTTGACCCATAGCAGAACTCGACAGTCGCCCGGAATGTCTAGTTGCTCGTATTCAGAGACGCACTGACTACACTGTCGCAGGGGAAGGGGATAGAAAATGTGTCCTTCAAAAATGCTGGCTGTAACGTCTTCTGTTGTATTCCTGTACAGAACATGATCACCCACTCCCTTTTTCGCCTTAACCACCAGTGGACCTTAACTCACGTCAAAGTGTCAGGCATGCTTGTGACGGGCCATGTCTTGCTGCTTGAAAAGTTGCCAACTGACGGAATAACTCGGTCCTTATCAGTGTGACCTCTATGGGACTCTTACTCTTGTGAGATTCGGACCATCCTTCCGAACTCCCGTGGCGTGCCCTTGAGAACGTCCCGTGCGTGGCACGTGTAGACGGTCTGTCTAGTTTTATTAGTCAGTGCGCCTGAACTCGCACCCTGTCGTTCTGAAATGAGGGAGGTGGGCGTGCGGTAGATGCTGAAAAAGTGCGCTTCCCTGCAAACTAATTCGCGCGCAGGTCACTGTCCGGCTTTCATTCTGTTGGACACCCGGTGGACATCGTCGTTCGCGCCTATCGGACTGCTGCTTGCGTATATCGAAATCGAGACTGCGGCCCTAATCGCACAGATGATCTCAGCGCACGATAGCAGTGGGCATGCCGAGCTCACCCGTACAGAACCGCGCGCTGCACAGACGAGATTTCACGGGTAGAATGGACGCCAACCTCAAGCACATTTACAGTGGATGGACTGTTTGATGAAGTGTTGACCAATGCTCTGAAATGCCTTTCCGATTAGATGTAATTACCTAGGTGAGATTGTAATATCGGTTATCGTGCGGCTTAATCCCGAGGCATTTCAGTTTCGTCAGATTTCCGGTTTTCGAATGAGTTTCCTTCCGACCAATTGCGAAAATCGCACTCGTTACAAAATGACCGCTGGATTAATTTGAATTTTTTCCTTGATTCTCGATATCCCTGTGAATGCAAGTGTACTTTATTGAAAACGTGCACAGAGGTGTCCTTCCTTGTACGTTTTTAGGTTTTTGACTCAAAGACGGAGTGTTTCCTGGGGTTTCAGAATACTTTTCAGTTTCCAAATAATTTTGAACCCGATCTGCCGTTGCACTTGTCATTAGGGTTTCTAAACTACACGCTGCATACTTTCTGCATACTCCTTTATGCTCCACAGATGATACCATCTTCGGTTCATGAAATCTCGCAGTGAATATGAACCGCGTTGTATTACTAAACGAACAGAGATGATGTTATTTGATTGAGGTCTTACGAAATTTCATAATCGTCGTCTTTTTAAAACCGGAAGATACTGTTTATTCGAGTATAAAATTTGATGAAGACGTGATTTGCTACCGAACGGGTTAGAGAAAGGATGTTTTTGCGCATTTCTTCTACGGAATATATTTTAATTTGCAAATGCATCGAAAATCAATGGGGAAATGCATACTACTTGCGTAGCCACTTTTTAGCGAAAGTAGCCGGAAAGTAGCGCATTTAAAAAGCGCTTAATGGCTGCCGATAATTGATGTTATAATCCTACCCAGTTAATCCCTTCTAACCGAAAACGCATTTTAGAGTTTCGGTCAAAATTTCACAAGATACGTCACTTTCTGTAGGTCCTAGATAGTTAAAATGTTGATAACACAGGGAACAGATTGGGCGATCTCATCTGCACGTCTGTCACCAAAAATCCTAGAATCTAAACGCTGAAAAAATGGAATTCGATGCGTCAATAGCGATGCAGAAACCCAGATTTACTGGACCTTTTGCAAACGGCTGAAAAAGTCTTCCTTCACACTCTCTTCAGTCATCTAACTGTTCCCGGGGAGCAAGGACTCTTTCCGGAGACTCATTGGAAATTCGGATAACGTCGTGAAACAAACGCCAGAATATTCGCGGTACGAAAACTCTGGAAATAATGCCGAAAATGGAAATCAAACCGCACACCATCGTTGGAGGTATCATGAAGGCCCCCTGGGGCTGTGAGTCCAAGCAGACTGTAAATGGGAAATCAATTGACATCAACTGAATGCAGGACGTTACGAAAGTCTTAACTCCGACAACTGAACACCACAATTGATGAAGATGTGGAGATGGAGTAAGACGTAGCCCTCCTAACTCGCCACTTTCTGGCGACTCCTCGGTGCGAAGGATAATGTCTTCAAGCATCAGCAAAGCACCAACCGTCGCATATACGGGACCCTCAACCATCGCTGCCTAAACTTTCAAAGGCAGCTAGTCGGGGCATTCTCCTTGATGGCAAGCAAAATTTGTGCAGGAATGCGGCCCCAATCAAGCCTTCTCTGTTACGAAGAGACGTGGACAATCTCGAAATC